ACAGATCTCAGAATAGGACTGGAGCCCTATAGGGTTGCAGGTTGGAATGATGTGCTGGTGGGGGAAGAGGAGGGACTTTTTTTTTGGTATTATATTTATTTGATTTTATAAGCCTATATCGTACACATATGCAAAGTATCAGCAAGATTACATACATACAAAATCCTTATACAGCATTTATCCTTTCTAGCAACACAGAATAGCATATCCAACATACCTACAATAAATAGTTTTATCCTTGTTCTTAATCTTAATATCAAATCTGTATTGAATGAAAATTTATATTTCTATATCCTTTAAGGTTTATGTACTGTCTTCTCAGAACACGCTAAAGGTTCATATCTGTATTGTAACTTCATTCATATTTGCTTATTACATTTCTCCTTTTCCTCACCTTGTACAGTTCTGGCTCTTATCCCATCTCTTATGTCTTACCAATTCTTTGCTTTCAATATAGGGACTTCGTTTAATATTTAGTTTTTATATCTTTTTCTTTTGTTACCTTTTTTACCCCACAAATTTACAACAAAGAATAAAATTATAGAACCATAAAATAAATAAATTATTAAATCAATTTACCCTTCTAATACCACTAGACATCTCCCACACTTAACAAGAACATATACAAAGCTCTCTATTCTGATAACAATTTTCCCCATCAATTTGCCATTTCATTATTTTTAAATATAATTAGTCTCTAAAACCTTTTAAATTTTATATAATTCATCTTGTACCAATTTATTAATAACCTTTATAATCATTTTTAACTTGCAAATTTCTATTACTATTCAACATCATATTAATCTATTATCAAAATTAATTTTCAACCACCATATTACAATATATTTAAACAATTAATCAGCCCTAATATTTCCATCACCTTTTATCTTTAAAATACACCTCCTAATCACCACTAGTTTACAACAAAAATGCAGATATAAATACATAAATAAGTAGGTTTTAGGTCAATTTTCCATCTAATCTTATATCCGAAGAAAGTCAATCTTTCTATCTTTTCGTATGACTTATTTTTCCTCTTGAACATTTGTAGTCTCCTTTTCTGTCTCAGCATGTCTACATGTCTACGTTCTTTAAACATTCCTTGACTTCCATGCCTCCCCTCTCTAATTTTCCACCATTCTATTTTCCAGGATCTATTGTCTCCTTTAAATTTCCACGCCCATCGTTTCCTTCTTTTGGTCCTTTTATCTCTCTCTCGTTCAGGTTTCAAGCATTGTCTATTTTCTATTGGCAGTCCCATTTTAATACTAGGCAATTTTTTTTTTAGTTCTTTCCTACTATTTCCATTGGCAAGCCTTTAGGTTCTATATAGTCATTCATTTGTATACTCCCCAGATTATTTTCCTTAACATAATCCCTGTTCTTTGTTTGGCCCTCCTCTGGAACCTCCTTCACAGGGAATTGCTCCTGCTTTTCCTTTTCCTCTGTTTCTACTTGTATGTT